AGACATAGTTTCTTTTTTCTTTCTTTCTTTTTTCTTTTTGTGTGTGTTCCAATAAAACTTTATTTACAAAAATAAGCAAGGGAGGGCTAGATTTCATCCATGTGCCATAGTTTGCTGGCCCCTGGAAGACACAAAGCACTTTTTTTTTTAAAGATTTTATTTATTTATTTCACACACAGAGAGAGAGACAGCGAGAGAAGAATATAAGCAGGGGGAGTAGGAGAGGGAGAAGCAGGCTTCCTGCTGAGCAGGGAGCCCCATGCGGGGCTGGAGGCAATATGGGGCTCGATACCAGGATCCTGGGATCATGACCTGAGCTGAAGGCAGATGCTTAACTGACTGAGCCACCCAGCTGCCCCCAGAAGACATAGTTTCTGTATTACCCATTATACAATATTCTCAGTGAAGTTACTGCATACATACTTTTTGAGTGAATAAAGCAATCTTATGAAAGACAAAGGGAACAAATATATACAGAACAAATGAACATTATGTTGTCTAGTTACAAATGATAAAAATACTACTAATAAGGAAGTTTAGATATTAAAATACTGTAGGAAATCCTTATGCTCTTCTAAAAAGTTCTAAAAATGTATTCTTGGGATGTGGAGAGAAAAACAAAAGCTTAGCTACAATTTACATTTTTTTAAAAAGGATGCTTCAAAAACAATTACATGAACACCTACCCACACACACAAATGGCCATATATCACTCCTTGTTGGGGTTTTAGGTCTCACATAATATTCTTAAGATACAGACTTCATCATTTTATGGGCTGCTCAGAAATATCTGTGGTTCTCCACTGCCTACGGATTAAAGTTTAAACTCACTCTGGCATTCAAATTCATTCCCAGTGTACTGTCTGAGATTTAATTGACCAATGTTTCTTCCCACCATGAAGGACAACTCCTAGCTACCTAAACTTATCTTTGCTTTTTTTTTTTTTTTCCCACTTCTTGCCTTTGTACATGCCGTTCCATCCTGAATGTTTTTCCTCCATTCTACAACACCTCTCCCTCAACCATCACCCATCAACATCCTCTCTCTGCTGGTCACAATCTTAGCCAATAATGCCAAGATCTCAAGATCCAACTAAATGGATTCCTCTTTGTAAGCTCCCCAGTTGGAGCTATGCTATCTATGGACTACAATCATTTAGAAATTTATGTTGTGTCCATTTCATCATGACATAGTTAGTTGTGCTTATATCTACATAAATGTCCTGAGGGCAAATGTTAGGTTATTAATGTTTGGTTTTCTAGTCCCTAAAAGTATATCACCATATCTTGGATTGCTCAATTAATATGCATTGGACTAAAATAGAAAAAGCAAATCATCTAGTTTTCCATCTTTATTATTAAAAAGAACAAAAGTGAAAACTTTTATTTATGAGTAATTACTTCACAATGATTATTTACCTACAGTACTGCTTGAAATTTGTGTACGAGAAAGAGATTTTTATTCTAAATTTCTGTAGAATTGTTTATAGGAATTATATATGTAATAAATCTATTTGAAAATATCTGTGTAAGATCACATGTTCTTTGGAAATAACTCCTGGGAGCTAGGCCCACTGAAATACACCTTAAGGCCTGGGGCAGCCCAGTTCCTGTTGGCTCTTGCTCACTGGCCAGCTGCCCTGATTTGTAACTCATTTAGGCCCCTAATCTGCCGGAACACTTTTCCCTGCCCTTAGGATGCTACGGGTGTGCATGTGGATGAAATGTATTATCCTGCCTGCCTCAAAAGCTACATAACACAATGAAATTCACAGTAGCTAAATCAGCTGTGATGAAAAAACTGTTAAGAGTTGAAAGCCAAGTTAATTGGATTGTTTGCTTACAATTTAGGACCAAGGATAAGTATGCTTTAACTCCAAGGTTAAAATTAGTACCAGACCGTGGACTAAAATAGAATTTTTCTTCAAGGGATTTCTTTTCTACATTTTGTCAGTTCTTCTTGCTCTATTCTTGTATCTATTATCTATTTACCTCTTTATCAGAAATGGGTACCGCGGTATAAAAGAGATTACAAAATTCTCCAGGTTTTCTACTTAAGCCAAAGTAATTATTATTTCCTCACATTTGAAAGAATATAAGAATAAGTAAAGTTAAGAAAATAAATGTAGAGCAATTACTCCATGCCTCTGGCCTGAAAAGGCTGCTATGAATAAACAGTGGGCTAGAATCATTTCAGAATTATGTGGCCAAATGAAGTTTTCATAGAAATGCATTTCAGATTTAAGTCTCTATGAACCTTGAAGGAGAGTGGCCAGTATTTCCAATAATCCTGAGGATTGATACACACATACTATAAACTAATTTTCACAGAGCACTTTTTTCTTTGCTGGCACATAATGAGATTTGAGAGGAAAAAGCACCAGGCCTATTCATGACCTATTAGCCAAATCTTCTAGCTGAGCTGCAATAGAATTTACACATATACAATGAAAAGGTTGTGTTTTTATTGTCATTGGGGTTTTGTTTTGTTTTGTTTTGTTTTGTTTTCAGAGCCCAGTTTCTAGTTCTGAACTGATGGGTCATAAAAGACACAGTCAGTATCTTGTTAATTATGTTCCTTGCCTTCATCATATCAACGTGGTACTAGGAAATCTTTATTAGTGCGGTCCCACTAGACAGCTACCCGAGACAGACAGACCGTGGAGAAGACTCACTATTTTACCAGCCAGCTCCCCCTTTCCTCTTCTTCTGGTCGGAGTATTTCCTCTGGTGGAGGATCTACTGCTCCGCGGACTCCAAGCTCATGGATGTGTTCCAACATCTTGGCTCCAGGGGCCACCTAGCACGTGGCCAAGCTAGATTGATCATAGCATCTCACAGTTCTGGCTCTGTAATTGGCCAGTGGGGTAGGAGCATGATGAGAAGGAGAGTGAAGATGGACCTCTGAGACTTTTCCAATGGAAGCTGGGAGGAGAGGACCAAAGGGTGGGCGTCAAAGGGGCCAAGAGCCTTTTCCCCTAGAGGATGAATCCATGTGATTGTGAACTGCAGCTACTAGCAGCCAGGTTCTCTGCCACAGGGAAGAACACAGCCTGTAGGAGAAGCCAGAATTTGAATTTCAGGCCACGAAAGCAGGTGTTCAGAAAGTGGGGCCATTTTTCTTATGCAACTCTACTTGATTTCTTCTGTGCTATCCTGTTATACGAACTGATAGAAACTAAATGTCAATGAATTCAGGTTCCCCTTTCCTTTCCCTAACTTTTCTTCTAACTTCTAAGCAGTAGACAGTGGGAGAGAAAGGTAGGCTGATCCTTGGTTCTGATCGTTGGTCATCTGTTGAATTTCACATCTGACTCCTCATCCTGTCTGTTTTTCAGATGTTGATCTACAGGGATCCATGCCAGGGGTCACTTCAGGATCAGTGACTCTCCCGGCTTGCCCCTGGTGCCTTTCCGAAGTGAACTGAGTATTCTCCAAATACTGCCCTGGGCTGTGGCCACATTGATGAGGCTTTCCAACCCAAAACCACATCTATTTTACCCTTGGGAATTACGCTGCTGCTCCCACCCCTCACTGAGTCAAGTTGGAACTCTTCAAAGCTACTTCAGATGTGACTACCTTCATCACACAGACATTCCTACCTGCTGCCTCAGGCTACCCCAAGTTGCTGAGCTCCGATGGTCTTCTCTCCATCCCTACCTTCTGTCCAGGATAGGGGCAACTGCTCTTTCTACTCTGATCCTCTACGTTCTTAGATTTCCTCCAAACTCATTGGGAGTGTCTGCTGCTGTTCCCCTATCCAGTTCAGTCCTCAGATATAAACTTCATAAGGCACTTCTAAACATTTTTCAGCTATAGGTTGGTAACTGATATTATGAAACACATTCAGTTTAAAACACCGGTAAACGTTGACGCCCACAGTGTGTTACTGAGTGATGGAATCATCTACAGGGGATGGGGCCTCTTTCTCATTGGTGCCTCAACTTAGCTCTCTTTGTTTCCCTCCGGGCTTTCTTCTTTTCCCCTAATTTAAGACACCTCTGTTAGTTTTCAGAGCCTGAATGGAGCCTGTGTCTAAGACTCAGAACACAGTCTGTTATCACATCTCCTGTGACAAGGGACACAAAAATGCCCACGAATGGAAGAGTTGTTAGAATATAAATAAATGAAAAGTACTTGGGGGGAAACACAGCAAGTAATATATCAAAATATTCCTCCACAGAGGGCATGATGCCCAGGCAGAGAAGGGTCAGGGGTCACATGAGGGAAAACTGAGTCCTGATGGTACCCACCTCCTGGCCCACGACTCCGAGTCCCTCCTAGAGAGCCCCCTCCTACCTTCATGAAGCTTAGTTGATCAGCTCTCCCTTTTGTACTGTCAGCTGCCTCAGGATCTTTCCTTAATTCCCTCCTTGTACTTAAGCTAACTCAAGCTACGTATGGCTGATATAATAGTTTAGCAAAAAATGGGTATTTTTATTTCATGAAATCAGGAAGATTTGAGCAACTAAATAACGAAAGGAGTAGACATGTAACTGGTCTTGAGGAACCCTAAAACCACCATTAACCTTCTCCATCTCTTATCTCTGCTTCTCAGTATGAGTGGGTCTCATTCCTTCTTACTATACCTTTCCACATGGTAGGAAACATGGCGACTGACCATTCCCAGGTTTTTCATCCCGGGGTTCCACCATCAGATAAAGGAAAACATAAGTCAGGGTTTAACGTTTCCACTAATTTCTTTCAGTAGTGGAAATGTAAAGAGAAAGAAAATTACTGAGTTCACAGGTTCTTCTTCCATGCAGTAAGGACAATAGCTTTTGTTTGGATTATAACTGTGTAAAAAAATGTTCCTCCCTATGACTAATCTATTTGACCCTTCTAAATTCCTTTTTTAAAGCGTATAAAGGAAGGAATGAATTTTAAAAGATGGCTATGTGCCTTTTCTCAAGCTAACCACAGAAAAAGAAAATAATGAGAACATTAACAAGCATATATTTTTAAATAGATGAAAGATTAAAAAAAACAATCATGCCTTAGTGTCTTTGCAGTCAAAATTAAATGTGATATGATACAACAAAGGAGGATATTACATTCCTAACAAAGAAAAATTTTAAAGTCAAGGAGACTAAACTATGATAAATAGTACCCTGTGTTCTTCTACCCTGCCCAAGCACAGGGTACTTCAAAAATTTTGCTTCAATTATAAATTGACTGTACTTGACATTATAAAACACGGTGAATTTAAAACGCCAACAAACACAAATGTCCAATGCGTGTTGCTTAGTGATGGAGCTCATCTATAAATGAACTTCTGCAATTATTTATAACAAAAAGGATGTGGATTAGTGCAAATACAAACGTTCCTGGATCTGAGAACATGAGAGTTCTTAGTCACTCTCACTCAAACTTCATGGAGGAATCCTGTAAACTTTTCGCTTAAACTTCCAGATACATTCTTAACCTCTTCCTCTCTCTCTCTCTTCCCCCAGCAGATCTGCAGGGAAATGCAATAGTGAATGATGCAGAAAATAACCATTTCATTTTTATAGTTCCTTCGATTTTCCCCTGATACTATTTCCCTCTTTACCAGGAGTGAGACCCTGTTATGTAAACAACGAAGCCCAGTAAGTTGAGTGCCTGCCGTGACAGTGTCCAGGTTGGCCACTTTCCCCAGATTTGTAAGATTCTTGCGGTAAAAAGAATTACAGCTGAATTCCCTTAATGTTTCAAAGTCAAATACTCATTGAGATCAATGGTTCCCAGACTCTAGATTTCAAAAATGAAATTTCAAAAATGTGTGGTGAACCAGCACAGGTCTGCCAACTTTTACTTTTGCCAAGAAAGGGTTTGGGGAAAATAGTGCTCTCCACCATCAGCATCATTTTACAAAACAAAGGAGGTTTTTAAGGCCAAGGAAGTAAGCCATACTTATGTCAAGTTAAAAAAAAAAAAAAAAAAAAAGGTGATTGGAGGGTGGTGGCAGGTCGTTGCTCTCAAGAAGAGAGAGGGTAGGCCAATATACACCGATTCTATCAGTCAGAACTCTGACAAGAAGCAGATGGCACCCTCAAAAGGGTTAAATCAAAAGTATTTCAATGAAGTGACTATTTACAGAGGTGTGGGCAGAATTTTTAAAACTCCAACAGGGGATATGAGTTACCCAGAAATAGCCACAGCAGGAAGCAATTACTTCTCTGGGGGCTGAAGGGGTGAGGAAAGGGAACAGTTTCCAGAGCCAAGCGAGAACAGGAGACAACAGGAGCTGGATCTGGGACAAAGGCAGCCACGGCCCGCCATAATGAGGAATGGAGAGAGTGGAGCTAAAAGGACATCTATCTCCTCCATTCTGCCTGAACTCAACGGGAAAGCAGAGGGCAAGAGGGCCCGGGCATTGCAGTCCACAGACAGCCTTCGGAGCACAGAATAGGTCAAAAAGGGTAAAAGATGGATTGGGCTGTGGGTCCAGTAGAGCATAGCGACTGGGGGCCATAGTGAGGTGGCCAGGGACGAGAGAGGGGAAAGGGTGTACATGTGAGTGTCATTTTTCACTTCAATTGCGGGAAAATTACAAGGGAAATTTTAAGATATGATATTGCTTGTAATTATATGCTTGATACATTGGTCATTTAGTGCCTCAGTATCTAATAGTGTAACATCAAGTGGTGTTCCCATGGGCAACTCGTTCCAGTACTTTATTTTTATCACATTCATTATTAAAAATTCAACTTCACATAGGTATAAAATGGAAGCAACACTCAACATTTTTATTTAGTTCAGAACATTTTGAGTGAACTAATGCCAAAATATAACAGCCTCCAGCCTCAGAGACTTCTCCAACACCAGAGGTCCCCAGACTTCTGCTGTATATTGATATCATCTGGGATCTCTAGAAAAAAAACCATGATGTGCCTGGCTTATACCCCAGAAATACTGATTTCATTGGTAGAGGTGCAACTTGGCAAAGGAATTTTTTAATAACTTTTTATTTTATAAGTTTTAGATTTAAAGAAAAGCCATAAAGATAATAGAGTTCCCATATATCTTCTGGATCTCCCCTATTATTAACATCTTACTTTAGTATGGTGCATTGGTCACCACCAATGAACCAATCTTGGAATACTGATACATAATTTTAAACTGAAGTCTATGCTTTATTCAGATTTCATTAGTCTTTACCTTCTGTCCCTTTTCTATTCCTGAATCCCACCCAGGATACCATATTACATTCCAGTCAGCATGGCTTCTCTTGGCTGCAATAATTTCTCAGTATCTTCTTGTTTTGGATGGCCTTGGTGGTAACGAGGAATAGTGGTCAGGTATCTCATACAGCATCTCTCAATTTAGATCTGTCAAATATTTTTCTAATGATGAAACTCTGGTTCTATGTTCCGTGGGGAGGAGGACCACAGAGGGAAAGTGCTACTCTCATCACACCATGTCAAGAGTATATACCAGCAGTAGATTTATCACTGTTAATGTTGACCTTGATCACCAGGAAGACACAGTGTTTACCAGGTTTCTTCACTGTAAAGTTGCTTTCCCCCCCTCCTTTCCACTCTGTACTCTGGGAGGAAGTCACATATGCAGCCCTCACTTAAGGAAGGTGTGCTCCTCCTCCTTGAAGACAAAGGATCTACATAAGTTATTTGGAGTTCTGCATGGGAAATTTGTCTGTTTCTCCCACAATTATTTATTAATTCAATCATTTATTTATATCAATGGGGATTCATAGAGATTTACATTCTGGGCTATAATCCAATGCTACTTCATTTTGTTGTTCACATTGCTCCATCATTACAAAGTGTTCCTTGTTTGTTTTTGGCACTTCCATACTCTTTGGCACTATAAAATGCTCCAGGCTCATCTTTTATATTTCCTATACAGTCAGCTATTTCTTGAATTCCTGATTCCTTTTATTGGACAATAGTATTAGAAACAAATAAATGGATGTTTGTGTATATCCTTCTTTCTAGGCCCTTTGGGCTGCCAGGGGGGGGGAAATGTGTGCATATAGCTAATCCCTGAATAGACCCATACCTATAAATATTTCTATAGGTAAAGATCTATATAATAGAGTTCATAATAATATCTCTCTTATCCATCACCACAGGGATCATTCCTGCCTCTGCACTTGCTTACCTATAGACTCCTAATAGCCATTTACTTAATTATTTAATTCTGGTATACATGTATACTTATTTCAGAACAGTTAACCCATGCCCCCATAGGTAACTTTATAGAATAGAGTGCTTATGTACAATCCCTTTTTCCTTTGGTCTTCTAGTCACCACTCATTAGGTCAGCCAACTTTTCCCCTAGTTCTGGCAGTGAGGTTTTTTCATACATTTGTAACATAGTTAGATTGTTTTGTTGTATTCTGTATTCCATCCTGGGAACCTCTGACCTCCTAAATGATTTCTTTTAATTTGCATAAATTATGGCCCACGTTTCATGTTGTAGAGTTCTATGGGTTTTGACAAATGCATTGTTACAACATTACAGAATCATACCAAAGTTTTCACCACCATTATGCTTGTGAGTACTTCATCTATTCAACATTCTGCCCCTCAAACTTCAATAATGACTAATTTATTGTCTTTAGAGTTTTGTCTTTCAAGAATGTCCTATAAAGGCATATAGGAGATAGCCTTTCAGACGGCTACTTCCACCTAGAAATATCAATTATCATTCATCTGTATCTTGTTTGATACCTCATTCTTTTTTACTGCTAAATAGTATTTCACTCTATGTATGTCACCATGATTTGTTTATCCATTCACCTATTGGAGGACATATGGTTGTTTCCAGATTTTGCTGATTATGAGTAAAGCTGCTATAAATTTTCACATGGAGGGTTTTGGGTGGACATAAGTTTTCAAATCAACTAGGAATTTCTGGATCATACAATAGATTATATTTAGCTTTATAAGAAACTGCCAAACTGTCTTGCAAAGTGGGTGTATGACTTAGGGATTTTTTTTAAGAGCTTCCAGATGATTCCAAGGTACAATAAAGTTTAGGGACTTGATGCTCTACTCTGAGTGGTTTGAGGAGAGTCAGTTAGGGATAGATGAATGTCTATCACGAGGGCGCAAAAAGAGACTTCAGTGTGTTCTCCATCTCAAGACTACTCATAATCTAAGACACTGATCATATAACCAGCAGTCAGGAATTTTTGTGGATAAATAAATCATAGATAAATCTGGTGACAAATCTTGGAACTTCACTATTTCCCCTACTTACCTTTGTGAGAGGTCAGATACATGTTCATACTGTTAAAGATGTTCTCTGAAATGGCACCTAAATAGGAGATAAAAACAAAAAAAACCCAAAGTGGGTAAGAAGGATGGGTTAGTCAGATGCTTTGCTGCAAGTTAACAGAATTCCAAATCAGCTTAGGGAAAAAAAGGGTGGGAGCAGGAAAGGAGGGGTGGTATTTACTGGCTTATGTAGTTGAAGTGTGCAAGGGTAGTTGAGTCTCAGCTGGCACAAATGATACCAACAAATTGTCTTTCTTCCCTCTGCTCCTCCAATCTTCTTCTTCTCCTCTCTCTCCCCCTCCCTCTCCTCTTTATCCAACCCCATCTCCATCTCTCCAATCTTCTCTGTATTAACTTCATGCTGGGTGGTGCCTCTGTATGTGTACAGATTTCTTCTTATAAGGACACCAGTTAGATTAGATTAGGGCCCACCTGGATGGTCTCATTTTAACTTAATCACCTCTTTGAAGGCAATATCCAAACATAATCACGTTCTGCGAGGGAGTTAGGTCTTCAACATACCAATGTTGGAGGGGACAAAATTCAGTCCACAACAATTATGCTTCCAGTGGGCAATCATTTCTTCTTTTATATATGAAGGAGAAAAAGATGAGGAACACTATCTATCTCATATCTCATATCTATCTCATAGAACTTCCACATTTTTAATGTTGCCTTATTAAAAACTCTTTTTAAAAAATAATATCCATTGAATTTTTTTAAAGACTACATCTCAACTCTGATTCAGAAGGAAAATCTAAGGGAAAGTAGCTATAGTCTAGGAAAATATGTCTGAAGACTATAGCTCGAGCATCCTACTTGGATCCTTGTGTTTTGTGAGTCACCATATTTGGTACTACCAACTTCTTTCATTTTGGACATTATTTAAGCGACTTCTGAGAGAAGAAAGCCTGGGAAATCACTCTGAAGAACCCTAATATTTAAAAAAGAGGCAAAAGGTGGGAGCTCCAGTGTTATGGGTTAAATAGTTTTCCCTAGAAAGCTGTTTCCTAAAACATGATACCTGTAACCTTATTTGAAAATAGGGTCTTTGCAGATAAAATCAAATAAATATGTGGTCATTCTCAATTAGGATGGGGCTTAATCCAACATGATTGGGGTCCTTTTAAGAAGAGAAAGCAGAGACACCAGGAAGAGAGTATCACAGACAGAGAAGATGGCCGTGTGAAGACTGAGGCCAACATTGGAGTTACGTTGCCACAGGCCAAGAAATGCCTGGGGCTACCAGAAGCTGGAAGAAGCAGGAAAGGATCCTCCCCTAGAAGCTGCAGATGGAGCACAAGCCTGCCAACATCTTGATTTTGACTTCTAGCTTCCAGAACTGGGAAATAATAAATTTAAGTTGTTTTAAGCCATCCAGTTTGTGGTACATTTCCCAGGCAACTCTAGGAAACTAATACATCTACCGAGGAGACTAAGAAGGCAAAGTCAGAAAGGAAGTAAGAAATTCACCCTTTCGACATCAAAGGAAGGTAATGGATGGAGAGTCGTTAGTATTGTCAACTACTCTAGACAGGTTAGATAATATCCAGATTGTAAGTATCCACTGAGTTTAGCATTACACAGGCGCATAGGTATTTATTGTTAATGTTATAAGGAATTGTTAAGCAGTTTCAGTAGAGAGGTCACTTCTGTCTAAAGGATTAAGGAACAGTTCATGAAGGGCATGGCATTGATGGTGGAATTTAAAGCCTAAATAGGGTTTTTAATATGCAGAAATGGAAGGTATTGCAGTTAGAGGGGGAGAAGTGAGTGAAATTATGGAGAGAAAAAGATTCAGGACACGTAAAGGACATGGCCAAGAGAACACAAGGTCTTTATAGAGGAGATGCTATCTGGAATCCCATCACGGATGTCCTTGAATGCTATGATAAGAAGTTTGAGCTTTTCTCTAGGAAGTGGGATATGGCACATTAAGTATAAGTTAAGAAGGTTGTGTGGAAAATGTTATATAAATACTAGTGAGTAAGCAAAATGCATAAACGGGAAGACTATAGACAAGGAAAACTGGAAGCTACTAGAATGCCCAGAGGAGACATTCTGAGGATCTGAACTAAAGTGACAACGAGAACGGAAATACGGCTCCTATTTTTGAAGCCCTGTTATGTACCAGGTCCTCTGGTGACTGCATTATATGGGTCAATTGCATGAATTCTGACAATTCCTCTCTCTGGTAGAACTTACAGTTCTAATTGTATACCTGTGGAAACTCTGACTCAGAGACATTAGGGATCTCACCCAAAGTCACACAAAGCTAATAAATGGTGGGGCTGATATTTGTATCCAGAAATTTGGTATATTTTAGGCTCTTGTCTCTCTTGTCTCATCAACTTATCTATCCTACAGCTCATGTTGTAAATTCCAGACATTATTTGGAAAATGTATGAAATGAGACCATGCTCTTTGCAATTTTGCACAACCTCCTCCAAAAAGGGAAGAATATTGTGAAAATACAGCAATGCTCTCTGGGAAATCCACTGTGTGGACTGCAGTTCATTTGCCATCTATTTTCCCATCTTTTTAGTCCCTAAAACACACTGTTTCACTATCATAAGCATTTAATAGCTTTTCTTTTCCCCCTGGTACCTGAGGTGCATTTTGACATAGGGAAGAAAAGTAGCTTTTTGAACTACCTTTGAAGCACTGCTACTCAGTGCACATTGATTTTCCTTTTAAACTAGAATCACTTAGTGTTTCTCTGTCAGACACTCACTGACGACCACTTATCCTTGAGACACACATGAATGAATCAGACAATTTTCTAATGATACTGAATTGGAAAGAAAATGGTACCTTGATTCCCGTTTGTAAGTTTATTATATCAAAATACATACAAACTTTTAAAAAGGGCATTCTTCTAGGCTTGATGAAATAGAACACAAGCTACCCTTTGATGAGCTTATAAAGAAATCTTTGATCAACTTTTAATAATAAAATATTGGGAAGTCACGTGTATTCCCGCACATCTCAGGCACTTAAGGAAATGCTCAACATCATGGTAAGATAACTGGCTGCCATCTTTTGAGAATCTGAGCTAGAAACAGGAGAACTGGAGGATTAGGAAAGAAAAGCACAGGGACTGAATAATTGCCTTTCCTCCTTCTGTTTATATAATAAATGCACTCATTGTTGCCATGGCAAAGGAGCCAGCCTGTTTCTCTTATTCCTCTGTTTCTACCCATTATTATTATATCCAACACCAGAAAATGTCATATTTCACTATCATCTTTCTTGGATCATTATGTTTATCCATCTACTCTGCATTAAATACTCCAGCCACAGTCTTTTTCATAGTGAAGCTTAGACAAAAAGTGATTTCAGGTGAGGAAAGTGGCTTCAGATGCAGCCAGAGGCATCAGGAAGCAAAGAATGATGGAAGGGAGGGATGAGGAAAGACCACAGTTCTTTAGCCATAAGGGCCTCCCTAACCTTGGAAAGCCCCTCAGATCCAAAAGGAAAAAAACTCTAAAAATGTCATTTAAAGCAAATTCCACCTTGCTGATAAACTGAATTGACTTTGACTTTCAAAACTCCCAAACAACCATCATGCTGGGGGTCCTTGGTCTCTTTTGTCGTGATCAGGCTGAGTTCATCTAAGCATAAAGTCTAAATTAGGGAAATTAAGCCTACCACTGCTCTACAATAGTCATATGACACGTGGAATATTCTGTCCAATCCATGATGTCACATTTTGTCAGAGACAGTGACACACTAATATATTTTCAAAAGATGACAACCAAGGTCTTGCAACCATGTCCCCCATTAAATCATTTGTGTATTCAAAAATTACTTATTAAAAGCATATTATGCACTAAGCACTGACCTAACCTGACATTAAAAAAAAAAAAAATACTCTAGTAAGACTTCATCCCTTTCTCTCAAAATGTTTACATTCCAATCCAACCGTGCAAGAGGCAGTTGAACGAAGAGGGTATTTTTAGTTTAGAAAAGAGAAGACTGAGTTTAAAGAACTATCCCTGAGAAGATAGCAAATTTAGGAAAATGCCACAATCTGTAGGAAACAATCAATAAAGGGGAGATAAGTGGTTGCATCCTGTTTATATGCCCTAAGGCTTGAGTGTATAAACAATCAGCTCAAATGTTCTATCTTGTTCATTTCCATTTCACAGGCAAAAGGACAAGGCAGCCTGCCTTTTTTTTTTTCATAAATCCCTCAGTTGGCAGACCCTGATATTCTTATTAAAACAATCCTACGGAGAGACACCTGGATGGCACAGTAGGTTAAGGGCCCAATTCTTGGGTTAGGTTCAGGGTCTTGATCTCCGGGTTGTGAGATTGAGCCCCTTGTCTGGCTCCTCTCTTAGCTACAGGTTCTTTCTCCCTCTCCCTCTGCTTCTCCCACTCATGTGCGCACGCGCTCTCTCTCTCTCAAATAAATAAATAAATCTTTAAAAATAAAAAACAAAAAGCAATCCGACAGAACAAAGGGACCATGGGAAAGCTCAGGACAGGAAAGTTTCCAGCCTCGAACAATTCAGAAAGAGACCAGCCAACAAACCTGGATTCTGCCTTCAAAGATTTGAATAGTTCTCATGTGCAGTAAGATCCTAGACTTCTATAAAATTGCAAGAAACTAAATGGAAACTAATGAGTGGCTATTATAAAAGTAAGCTTTCAGATCAATACTATAAGAACAATAATTTTAAAAAAAAAGGCATAGAGCCATACTTCTCAAATTGTAACATGCATGTGAATTACTGGGAGAGCCTGTTAAAGGTAGATTCTGATTCAGACTTGGCATAGAGCCTGGGATTTTTCATTTCTTTTTGGGGGGGTGGGGGTTAATTTTACTTTTATTTTTTTCCCATTTATTCCCCCAGCTCACTTCTCTTCTTGATCTCCCCATGTCCTCTGTGTTATTCCTTATGCTCCACAAGTAAGTGAAACCATATGATAAATGACTCTCTCTGCTTGACTTATTTCACTCAGCATAATCTCCTCCAGTCCTGTTCATGTTGATACAAAAGTTGGGTATTCAACCTTTTTGATGGAGGCATAATACTCCATTGTATATATGGACCACATCTTCCTTATCATTCATCTACTGAAGGGCATCTTGGTTCTTTCCACAGTTTGGCGACTGTGGCCATTGCTGCTATGAACATTGGGGTACAGATGGCCCTTCTTTTCTAACAAGATCCCAGTTCGGCCTGGTGCCAGTGGTCCTAGGATTAACACTCACGTATCATTGCCCTAGAGTCATCTGACAATAAGGCTGCCTAGGATGTACTGGGTTGTCTGTGCTCAGACTATTTAAGGGGAAGTCAAATAACTATTTGTCAGGCAGGCCACAGAAAGGATATCTCCACTGCATGAGAGAGTGGGCTAGATGTTCCCTTCCAAACCTAAATCATTTGATTCAGGGCTTTATTTATAAAGGAGTTAATTTTACATATGATGGCTTCCTTGAGTATTAAAACACTTGAACATAGATAACGAAGAAAGTAAACTGAGAGATTTTTCTTACCACTTCAACAGACGTAGAAACAAAAGATCTTAGACATTAAGTGATTTGTTCAAAATTCACTCTGAATACAATGAGCCCAAGAAAGTGTGATATTAGCAAGGGTTAAGTCATCCTAACTTGTACAAACAAAACAGAAACTAAAAATCCCATCTACTCACTTCCCCCAGCTGCCTTTCCTCCCTACACCTACCTTTGTAGGATGGACCCAAAATCCTCCCACCAAGATAATCCAGAATCCTTCACACTGCAAAAATAGGCAGACTTGCAGGAAATAAAGACCCACCGAGACCCTGCAGGCTGATTAGCAACTGTGCATTCAGTTTTATTGTGAAGTGAACCTAGGAATTTCTTTCTTCCACAAGCTGGTCCATAGAGCGGCTCACTGTTACTTCTTCCAGTCCCCTCAATAATTTCCTGGATGACCTCCATCTTTCTCTCTTTATAAGGCTCAGAGTACCGCTTGGCCCATTATGGATTATGTCCTCTGACTTGTGTTTTGCTCTTACTACAAGGTTCCAATCCTCTCATCTTTTCCCTAGGCTACCTCTAGTTTCTTTTCTTCAACGTACCATTCCTGCCATTTGATTTAAACTCATCCGTCAGAGAGAAGACTGAGATAAGCTAAAGTATTTTTATGTAGCCTCAGGTCTCTTCATTGTGTGTCAAAGATTGGGCTTCCCAGGAAACAGATTTCCAGATGGAGATCTGCATCCCAGTGGTTTATTTGGAAGTGCTCCACAGAACACCAACTCCAAGGGAGTGAAAGAAGCAGGACGGGACAACTGGGAGAGAAGAAAGGCAATACAGGTGCCCAAGGTGCCTAAGACAATTTCACAAGGAACTCTGAAGCTGGGTTGACCCTTTTGAGATATCTCTCACGGAGGCAAGGGGAGAGGGCTTTGTATCACCTACATTGATTGGTCATGGGATGTAGGTCTCTTCCATGGTAGAAGTGTAGTCAGGTGAGTTGGTTTTCTTTCTCCAATAGCTGGTCCTAGGGTTGGACTCAAATGGAAGAGGTTGGTGCTCCTGGTTCTCAAGTAACAGTCTGAAGAGCAAAACACAGCAGCCACTACAATCCATCTCATTGCGCTGCTGGAATACATTTGCTTCATATAATAAATTTACCTCATGTGGGAAGAACTCTTGCAGAATTCTAGTCAGTCTTTTCCCTGGGAAAAACTTACAAGCTGAAGAAGGGTGATGGGACAAACTATAGCTTCTGGCACTGCAGCTGATCCCTGAAAAATAGTTGATTCTTACCACCTTCCTTTACTTCCTATTTATTTATATTTTAATTCCAGGGCAGTTAACATAGTATTATACTAGTTTCAGGTATACAATGTAGTGATTCAGCAATTCTATACATTACTTGGTGCTCATGAAGGTAAGTGTTGTCTTGGGGGACCTGGGTGGCTCAGTCAGTTAAGCATCTGCCTGTGGCTCAGGTCGTGATCCCAAGGTCCTAAGATCGAGTTTGCATTGGGCTCCCTGTTCAGCGGAGAGCCTGCCTCTCCCTCTGCCTGCCACTCCCCCTGCTTGTGCTCGCTTGCACTCTCTTTCTCTCTGGCAAACAAATAAATAAAATCTTTAAAAAAAAAAAAAAAAAGTAAGTGTGCTCTTAATATGTTCACCTAGTTCACTCATCCCCCAACCCACGTCCCCTTTTGTAACCATCTGCTTATTCTCTATAGTTAAGAGTCTGTTCTTTGGTTAGTCTCTTTTTTCCTTTGTTCATTTGTTTTGTTTCTTAAATTCCATATATGAGTGAGATGGCACGGTATTTGTCTTTTTCTGACTTATTTTGCTTACCATTATACTTTCTAGGTCCATGCTGTTGCAAATGGCAATAGTTCATTCTTTTTTAAGGCTGAGTAATATTCCACTCTACATCTATATACACACATCTTTGTTATCCATTCATCTATTGATGGACACTTAGGCTGCTTCCATATCTCAACTACTGTAAATAATGCTGCTATAAACATAGGGATGCATACATCCTTTTAAATTCGTGTTCTTGTATTCTTTGGGTAAATACCCAGTAGTGGTATTAATAGGTCCTATGGTAATTGTATTTTTTACTTTTTGAGGAACCTCCATATGTTTTCCACAGTGGTCGCACCAGTTTGCATTCCAACCAATAGTACACATTCTTGCCAACACTTGTTTCTTGTGTTTTTTTTTTTTTAATTTTAGCCATTCTAACAGGTGTGAGGTGATATTTCACTGTGGTTGTGAGTTGCATTTCACAATGTCGAGTGATGATGAACATCTTTTCATGCACCTGTTGGCCATCTGTATGTTTTCTTTTGAGAAATGTCTGTTCATGGTTCCTGCCCATTTTTTAATTAGATTATTTATTTTGGGGGTGTTGAGTTGTATAAGTTCTGTATATATTTTGGATACGAACCTTTATCAAATATGTCATTTGCAAATATCTTCCCCCGTTCAATAGGTTGTCTTTAGTTTGTTGTTTCCCTTGCTGTGCAGAAGCTTTTTATTTTGCTATAGTTCTAATAGTTTATTTTTGTTTCTGTTTCCCTTGCCTTAGGAGACATCTCTAGAAAAATGCTCCTTTGGTCAGTGTCAGAGAAATTATTGCCTGTGCTCTCTTCTAGGATTTTTATGGTTTTAAGTCTCACATTAGGTCCTTAATCCATTTGAGTTTATTTTTTTTTGTATAGTGCTAGAAGGTGGCCCAGTTTCATTCTTTTGCATATAGCTGTCAAGTTTTCCCAACACCATTTGGTGAAGAGACAGTCTTTTTCTCACTGCATATTCTCACCTCCTTTGTCAAAGATTAGTTGACTATATAATCATGCGTTTATTTCTAAGCTCTCTATTCTGGTCCATTGACCTATGTCTCTACTTTTGTGCCAATGCCATACTATTTTGATTACTACAGCCTTGTAGTGTAACTTTGTGATACCTCCCTTTTTCTTTTTTCTTTTTTTTTTTTTTTTCAAGATTGCTTTGGCTTTTGGGGGTCTTTTGTGGTTCCATATATATTTTAGGATTATTTGTTCTAGTTCTGTGAAAAATTCTGCTTCCTATTCTTAATCCCCTTTAGTCAGCTAGTATCTCTGCTAGTCTGGGTAGCTTAGCTGGTGGGTGACCCAGATTCACATTCTTGAAAGGTAGAAGCTCATGATTACCATGCTGTTCTCTTCAGGCTGTGGCTTACTTCACTTGTATATTTACTAGTGATAAGTAGTGATCAAAGTCAACATTAACATTGATAAGTCATTTTGATAAAAATCACACTTATAAAGCACACATAAATCTACTCTAATGATGAGAAAAACATCAGATAAATCTCAACTGAGGGACATTCTACAAAATACTTAACCAGTCAAGATCATCAAAAACAAAGAAAGTCTTAGAAACGGTCACAGCTATGAAGAGTCTAAGGAGACATGACAAGTATAATGTGGTATCCTGAATGGCATCCTGGCATTAAAAAAAAAAAGACATTAGGAAAATATTAAGGAAATCTGAATAAAATACAGACGAGTTAATAATCATGTATCAATATTGGTTATAGCTTGTGACAAATGAACTACTGATGTAAGATGTTAATGATAAGGAAAACGGGTGCAACGTACATGGAAACCTGTACTATTTTTGCAATTTTTCTTTACATCTAAAACTGTTCTAAAATTAGAGTTTGTTTTTTTTTTAATTTTATTTTTATTTATTTGTCAGAGAGACAGAGAGAGAGAGCACAAGCAGACAGAGTGGCAGGCAGAGGCAGAGGGAGCTGAGCATGGTCCCGCTGAGCATGGAGCCCGATGTGGAACTCGATCCCAGGACACCAGGATCATGACCTGAGCCACCCAGGCGTCCCTAGAGGGTTTTTGTTTTTTTTTTTTAAGAAAAAATTAAATCACTTTTATGGAGATAATTATCTCTCTAGTAAAATTATCTTTTTAGTAAAAACAAACAAAAAATATTTGTCATGTCCAGGGCATGATAGAAATTTGGGCAAGATAAATAGTGGACTAAATTTGGACAAATTGCGGTATTCCAAGAACTGACTAGCAGAAGGAGATTAGGGTCCCAGAGCCAAGCAGTAAAGGAAATGAGATGAAATCAGTGACCTAGCAGGAGACCACAGATACTGAAGAATGAAGTCAGTTCCCAAATATTTCCAGGGGTAGGAATGGCCAATGAAGTTTAAGAACAGTGTTCCTCATATCTCATTTACATCTTTCTGCACCATTCTGATGTAAGTAACCTCCATCTTCGCGCTACCTCCTCTTTCCGCTTAAATATTTCTTCTGGACAACACATGTGGTATCTTTGCAAAATCCAGGCAAACAGAATGCTTCAGGGTATATGTTCGCTAGAGGAGAGGGAACAGCCACAAGAAACAAAATGCAGGCAACGAAGAAGAATTCCAGAAGCAGAAAACCAGAAGGAGAAGTGACTCTAAGAGACATAAGCCTTCTGAGAGTCTTTTGAGGTATGAAAGGAGTAGGGAGACACTGGGTCTCCCCTCGGTCTGAAGACACGAGGAGCACATACAGGACAATTCTGAGGCAATTATGTAACAAAACTCATTCCTAGAAGAGTGTACATTTATAGGCATTTTTAAATAATAGGAACCATGAAAGTATTTGCCACTTGGCAATTTCATGAGTGTAAAATGTTCACCTCAGTTCACATCCACCACTTCAAACAAAAGGAAGTTGAAATTTATTTGTTACCGTCTTAGTTAGAATAATAATATGCCAGCACAGAAACTTCCTTTCAATTATGTGTTCCTGGCTTTCTGCCTTTTTAAAATAAATAAAACCGCTGTATCCCCACCTCTCAGAACAAAAACAACAGCACCAAGTTGCAGTTAAAGCAAAACCTTCAAAGCAGATCAACCTTTCAGGCCAACTTCTGACTCTGTGGACGCTTACCTCCCTTGCTCATATAAGTGGAAATGTTTGCAAACGGTCTGTTTAATTGCCAGGAGGATCCAGGTCTGTGAGCAGAGGAGGGTTCCTGCGGAAAGCAGGTTAGATGAGCAGAGAGGGGAAACAAGTCAATTCAACTTCATGAAGTAATTCATGATTATACCATGATCATACCAGGCAGTCTTGTAAGGGAGACAAAAATCAGGAACATGGCCTTGTCCTCAAGAAACTTCCAGTCGAATAGGCAAGGTAAATAAAGCAAGCAAATAAATGGCTATCTAAAAATATAGACAGATTTCAAGATGAAAAGAGTCCTGAAGATTGGTGGCATAACAGTGTGAATAAACTCAGCACTACTTAATTATATACTTAAAAATGGTTAATGGGGGGCGCCTGGGTGGCTCAGTGGGTTAAGCCTCTGCCTTCGGCTCAGGTCATGATCCCAGGGTCCTGGGATCGAGCCCCGCGTCGGGCTCTCTGCTTGGCGGGGAGCCTGCTTCCGCCTCTCTCTCTGCCTGCCTCTCTGCCTGCTTGTGATCTCTCGCTCTCTGTCAAATAAATGAATAAAATCTTTTTTTAAAAATGGTTAAGATGGTAAATTTTATGTTATGTACATGTCTTCCTGCAATTGAAAATTGTTTTCATTTGAAAAAGGAAAAAAAGTGTAAATAAAGATAGTTGATCGACCACCTCCCCCTAGTTTGGCACCAAGCAAGACTGGATTCTGCCCAAGAAAATCCACTTTAGGGGGGGAAAAAAAAAAAGGCACACAATTCAGTTCAAAATCCATGATAGAGGATCAATCATCAAAAACTAAGAGAAGAAGCAGAAATACCAAGGAGCCAGAATTGATGAGGAGATGCACAGAAGAGAGGACAGAGATAGCCAAAGAATCTTGGGACACCTGGGTGGCTCAGTCAGTTAAGAATCTGCCTTGGAGTCAGGCCATGATCCCAGGGTTCCGGAATGGAGTCCTGCATCACACTCCTTGCTCAGTGGGAGGCTGCTTCTCCCTCTGCCTGCTGCTCCCCCTGCTTGTGCGCTCTTTCTCTCTGACAAATAAATACAGAAAAGTCTTAACAAAAGAAAAAAGAACTCACAGGGTCCAGGAACAGGTACCAGAGTGTGCCAGA